TATAAACAATTAATAGTGATGTTGATAATTTATATGAAATTTTTGATTACATTATACTTATATGTACTTGATTGATTTGTTTTATTTGATTGAAAATAATCATAATTGTTAACTAAAACCAATTCGTACGTATATGTATTCGAGGATATTTTGTGTGGCGGACATTTCCCACTAAGTCATTACGAACACCTTGGCTTTTTTATTTATGATTGATTTTTGCACTCCGGACTTTAATGTACATAATTACGAACACCCTGTTCTTTTTTTCTTATGTTCGAAGAGCGTAACGAACTTCACCGCTGGGAGATCGTAAGGAAAAGTTGATGCAAAATGCTCCTCTCCCAATTTTATGTATGAATTTAATCATACCATTTATCAACAAAATTATTACTATTATTATTATTTTTAAAACTATTTATAGAAATATTTAATGTACCAACATAATCATGAATACCAAGGTTAACATTGACTACAGATATCTATAACTTTCAAAAAATATTGATTTGTTTATATACAGATAATAATATTATCAGTAGAAAATTTGTATACTTTATGAATTTCAAATGAAGATTTTCTCGTTTTTTATAGTGGTGTCATCAGGAAATCGTAGGTGAGATAGTAGTGCTGTAGAATTTTAAAAAATTTACGGAAGATAGTGTAAATCATCGTAATTATTAGGTTTTTTTCTAGTGGTAGGGTATGGGCGAAAGGACAACGACACACCATTGATTATGTCAGGAGGTTCCGATGAAAAATAACTAGTATTGCATCGACTTAAAGCGATATTATTACGAGAACATTCTCAATTATTGAATCTTATTGGAATTTGTATTTTAATTATGTAAAAATTTTTATGAAACTAATGAGGAAAGACCTTCTAGTAATCTACACATTTTATTCTGATATTTTTCATACTTGCGAGAGACTTTACTCTTAAAAAAAGTTCTAGAGGTTTTGGACTATCATGATTGTTAGACTCACGTCTATTTTGTTAAAAAACAACGTTTAAAAAAAATTACCTGAAATTTTTGAATATTTGATTGTTCAATAGGAACCATTTTGGATTATTTGTTTTCTGTATATGTGTTTTAAATTTATATTGTCCTACGGTAATTATAACAAAAGGATTAACGGAATATTTTTTTTTTATAAATAATGAATGATCATATTTTGATAAATTTATTTCCTTCAATTATGTCAATACGCAATATACTATTAGGTTTTGGAAATTTTAGTTGATTTATATCTTTACTATTAATAAATGCAATAATTAAACGATTTGGTATAACAAGAAATGTTTGTAATAAACATTCGAATGATAATATAAGTAAATTATATAAACCAGGTATTTCAATTAAATTAGTTGTATCAATTAAATCAAAATGTATTATTGATTTACGAAGAAAACATAATTCTAATGCACTAATAAATAGTATTTTTGATATAAGAGATTTAAGTATAAAACATAATTGATCATGTAAATAAAATGATTTAATACCAATTTTTAAACTATTATATTTCATTTTAATTTCTATTTTAATACCATTTAAACGTGGTGGAATACCACCTAGATTAATATATTCGTATGAAAGATCAGATATTTGTTTTTTTAAATTTGGGTTCAATAAATATTTTTAACTAAATTTGATATAATTAGCCATATATATTCAATCAATTTATTTAACCATTCATAACGATCAACATTAGGATATAATAAGCATAATGGATATTCTGTTAAATAAATTTCTATTATTGAATTGTATATCAGATGTTGTTAATTCTTGAAAAAATTTTCTATGTTCAATATGTAATAAATGATAAGATCGTTCGAGAGTTTGTATTAATGTTGATATAAATAATCATAGAAATGAAAAATCATATCGATCAAGAAATCAAAATAAAAGTGAATAAACATAAATATGTTAATTAAGTCATTTTTAATATTATGATATGTTGTTTGAAATTTTATACAGTTCGATTTTTTCATCCAAAAAGAAGATAGTCAAAAAAATAAAAATAAAAGTGTGTTGTTTTATTTTCTCTTATTTGTATATATTTTTTAGGTTAATGTTCGAGTACTTACAATGGATT